GAAGGGCCTAAGTGGCGCAGGAGGCCCACGCTGCAGGAAGCAGGAAGCGGACCCGGGTGCCACTGACTTCCCAGGGGCAGAGCACAGCAGGGACAATGCAAAGGGAATCCCTTTCCGGCCCTCGGCTTCCTCTGCCAGCCGGCCTCCTTTCCCCACCCACTCCTCTCGCTTTGCGGAGGGGCTGGTTCTCAACCAGTCGCTGGGACTGCCGACCAGGAAGCCAAGCTGAGGGTGTCGGCAGAGCCTCCTTCACCCAAGGCCCCTCCTGGGAGACGAGGCAGAGCACCTGCCTGTCAAACACTTTCAAAACACATTCTTGCTATTGGGGCAAATTGTGAATTAGTGATAAGTGTATGAGGACTCCGTCTAGTTCATATTCAGAGGCTCATGGTCATAGGAACTTAATAAATATTTAAAGTTTAAATTTTAATTGTGGTGAAATACACATACCAAAGTTTACCATCAGAACCATTTTTTAGAAAAGATTTTATTTATTTACTTTTAGGGAGAGGGGGAGGGAGGGAGAAACAGTGGGAGAGAAACATCAGTGTGTGAGAGATACAGTGATTGGTTGCCTCTCGGATGCTCCCAGCTGGGGGCCAAGCCTGCAACCCAGGTATGTGCCCTGGCTAGGAATTGAACTGGCAACCTTGTGGTTCGCAGGCTGGTGCTCAATCCACTGAGCCACACCAGCCTTGGCTGAACCATTTTTTAAAATCGATTTTTAGAGGGAGAAAGACAGATAGACAGAGTGAGAGAAACATCAATCTGTTGTTCCATTGATGTATGTATTCATTGGTTGTGTCTTATAAGTGCCCTGACTGGAGATCAAACCCACAACCTTGGCATATCGGGACAATGCTCTAACCAACTGAGCCACCGGCCAGTGCCCTTCGGAACCATTTTTCAGCGTACGGTTCAGTAGTGTTAAGTGTGTTCACATTGCTGTACATCCAATTTACAAAACTTTTCATTTTGCAAAACCAAAACTCTGCACCCACTAAACAACTCCCCATCCCCTCCTCCCCCAGCCCCTGGCAACCAGAGCTCTACTCTCTGTCTTCGTGAATTTGACTGCTGTAGGGACTTCACACAAGTGGAATCACACAGGATTTGTCTTCGTGCGACTGGCTTATGTTCCTTAGTATAATGTTTACAGCAACTTTCATATACTGTACCTTTTCAGTATCTGTTCTTTCTTTTGTTGTAGACACATACAATAGGCAAAAAATTTATTTTCATGGATATAGACTAGGTAATTTACCCATTTCACACACATTGCATCGAGTCATTTGAGCATTTCTGCGCATCAAGTGTGATTTACCCACTTTACCAGTCTCAGTTCAGGCAAAGCAGAGGCCGCGTAAGAGTGGTTTTTACGGTATCATCCATGGTCAGACAGTAGCACCTAGAAGACCGATTAACGTAAGGCTTTTCTTTAAGAAGAGCTTTAGACTCCTTGTGAAGATGATACAGAGCATTCCCACACAGCCCACGCCCAGTCTCTTTCCTCGGGTGCCTGGAAAGTGTTGTATCCTTTAACATTAGACACATGCATTGAGCGCCTACTGTGTGCACGGCTCCGTTCTAGGAATTAGAGCAACAGAACGTTCCGGGCACCGCCCTCCTGCAGCTCTCAGCCAGCAGGAGAGAGAGCAGATAGACGGGAACACAAAGGGGTGCTGGCAAGGGCGGCTGGGGGCAGGGAAAGGCGGGGTGGGGCTTTGAGCGGAGGCCTGAAGGCTCTTAGCCCAGTGAGGCTCAGCAGCTGGAGTCCAGGCAGGGAGGGAGGCGGGGGTGCGCAGAGGCTTTTGGGCAGGAAAGAGAATGCGGCTGTGGGCCCGACGGTGAGGGTACGGGGGATGGGAATAGATCTGAAGGGAAGGCAGGGCCTCACCACAGAGGGCGTGGAGGGCAGAGCGAAAAGGGTGCACTTTCTCCTCAGGGTTTTTGGAGGCCACGGCAGGTTCAAAGCAGGAACAGCACGATGCGGTTTCTTGTGAAAAGATCACCTGTCTCTGTCCTGGGGAGAATGGATCGGAGAGGACACAGGTGGATGCAGGGGACCCCTGGAGGTGGCTGTGGTCACCCATGCAACAGATGACATTGAGAGATAGGAAGGACAGAGAGACAAGGGTCTAGAACTGAGTGGAGTCAGGGAGGAGACAGGGAAGTTGTGGCAAGTGAAGAGGCTGCCACTGGAGAGGAAAAAGGCCACCCAGCCCTGGGACCGAGCTCCCGGTCAATACACCACCCTTCCTCAGCCACTGGTAATCCAGAAGGGAGGGCGGACGTGAAGCATGATGGGTAAATGCCTACGAAGCAGGGTCTGATTTGGGGCAGGGTCTTCACACGGTTTTCTGCTCACACATCCCCTTGAGCATTTTTACATCGACAATGAAACTTTGAGTCACCGTTTAAGTGGTTGCAAAAGGCGCAGCTTTCTGTCTGCTATAAGCGTGGACATTTTAAGATAACGTTGTTACACACTGTCCTGGGTATGGGCAGTGGAATCGGGATGCAGCTGCAGTTTTACTTGCCATCACCCGTCTGCAAAGTGCACGAAGAAGCCAGATGTGTACAATCACTTTTGTACTTGAACTCCTATTTCTGTTCTGTTCCCCCACTGAATACCATCCCAGTGAAGTGTGCTTTTGGCCTGGAAGTCTTTCATTGAACATCCTGTCTATTTTCTCCGCAACAGAGAGATGTATAAGTACCAATTAAAATTTAACAGAAAACATTTCCTGATGAGCTCTAAGTGTTAAAACATTTGTTTTGGATGATTGTGTATTAGCATACGCTTGATCAGAACAACGCAGATGTGTCACAAAAAATTATTTTAAAGATTTTATTTATTTATCTCTTTGTACAGAGTGGGGAAGGGAGGGAGAGAGAATAACTGAGTCCTTCCCTCCCTCCCCCACCTCTGCTCCCGCTCAGGCCTCAGTCTTCTCTCTCCTGGGGTCTTGGCCTTGGACCCAGTCACCGCCCCCATAGACTTGACCCCTCCCCCCCAATTCAAAGCCAGAATGATTTGGACAATCACCGCTGACAGGCCTCCCACCCTCTCCTCCTGCCCCAGGATAAAGCTCTGTCTCCTCAGAGGACCAATCAAGTGGCATTGTCTCTTCTAGACCCCTCCCCCACATACTGCCTTACCACCCAGTGACTTGAGTTGCCCTGCCCGGGAGAACACCTAAGGCCCCGCCCCTCCCAACCTAACAGGTGCGCCGAGACAAAGAAACGTGGCCCAAATGAAAGAACAGATCAAAGCTCCAAAAACAGAACTTGGTGATGAACAGAGAGCCAAACTATCAGATGCAGAGTTCAAAACACTGGCAATCAGAATGTTCACAGAAATGGTGGAGTATGGTCGCAAAATAGAGGAAAAAGTGAAGGCTATGCAAAGTGAAGTAAAGAAAAATATACAGGGAACCAACAGTGAAGGGAAGGAAACCGGGACTCAAGTCAATGATTTGGTGAAGGAAAAAATAAACATTCAACCAGAACAGAATGAAGAAACAAGAATTCAAAAAAATGAGGAGAGGCTTAGGAACCTCTGGGGCAACTTTAAATTTTCCAACATCTGAATCATAGGAGTGCCAGAAGGAGAAGAGGAAGAATAAGAAATTGAAAATTTATTTGAAAAAATAATGAAGGAAAACTTCCCCAATCTGGCAAAGGAAATAGACTTCCAGGAAGTCCAGGAAGCTCAGAGTCCCAAAGAAGTTGGACCCAAGGAGCACACACCAAGGCACATCATAACTACATTACCCAAGAGTAAAGATGAGGAGAGAATCTGAAAAGCAGCAGGAGAAAAGGAGACAGTTACCTACAAAGGAGTTCCCGTAAGACTCTCAGCTGATTTCTCAAAAGAAACCTTGCAGGCAAGAAGGGGCTGGAAAGAAGTATTGAAAGTCGTGAAAGGCAAGGACCTACACCCAAGAGGACTCTATCCAGCAAAGATCTCATTTAGAATGGAAGGGCAGATAAAGTGCTTCCCAGATAAGGTGAAGTTAAAGGAGGTCATCATCACCAAGCTCTTATTATATGAAATGTTAAAGGGATTTATGTAAGGAAAAGATCAAAACTATGAACAGTAAAATGACAACAAACTCACAACTATCAACAACTGAACCTAAAAAACATCTAGAACAGGAACAGAGTCACAAAAATGCAGATCACATGGAGGGTTATGGCGGGGGGAAGGTACGGGGAACAAGAAGCATAAGTGGTAGGTACGAAATAGACAGGGGGAGGTTAAAAATAGTCTAGGAAATGGAGAAGCCAAAGAACTTACATGTACCACCCATGGACATGAACTAAGGGGCGGGCAGGAATGCTGGTGGGAGGGAGGGTGCAGGCGGAGGGAAATAAAGGGGAGAAAAAAATGGGACAGCTGTAATAGCATAATCAATAAAATATATTAAAAAAAAAAAAAAAAGAACATGTTACTCCTCACTTTGTGCCTGGGGAACTCTATCAGTTTAGACAACAGCCTTCCCTGCTCCACGGCCTATCGGCTGCCTTCCCCAAGGCCTAGAAGCTCCAGGGGCGAAGGCCAATCCTCCACTGCTGTCTGCCCAGCACCCATCAAGGGGCCTGCCTTGTGCAGCTGAATGAAAGAATAGGCTTCTGGCTCTGAGTGCGCACGCCAGGACGCGTCTGTCGTGGTGAGTGCCCATTGCTCAGCGTGCCCAGCAACAGTTTCAGGAAGGCCGGCAGGTGGGTGGCCAGAGAAACGCCCATCACAGCTCCAGGAGAAGGCGGGGGTGGGGGATGAGAAATCAAAGCGCGGGATCCAGGAGAAGCTCGTAAGAAAACAAAACTGATTTAGCTAGGCATAGGGCTCGACCGCAGCTAGGAGTTGCTCGACGCCGTCTGTGTCTTTCTCAGACTCGGCGGCGCAGAGCCACGCCCCTCTCCAACCCGGCTGCCCCGAGGGTGGGCGGGGTCCGAGGGTGGAAGTGACGCACCCGGAAGTCCCTCCCGGTACCCCGGCGGCCGCGCCTGGGGCGCAGAGGAGAGGCTCGGCGCGACCCGAGAATGCCAGCGGCGGGGCGGTTCGCGGCCGGCGCAGCGCTGTGGCTGCTGCTGGCGGCCGAGGCAGTGGCGGCGATCGAGCCCATCTCCACGGCCCTCGTAATCGGGGTCACGTCCATCTTCTTAGCCTACCAGCATCCGACCCTGTACTGCCGCTTCGCCGAGTGCTGCGACGAGAAGCCCCTGAACGCGTCCGGTACGGCGGGTCGCCTGGAGGGGCGCGAGGGACGCACGGGACAGGCCCCAGCGGGCATCCGCGCCTGGCACACGGCTCGCCCGAGGTGGGGGGAGGGAGAGAGGGCAGATGGGGCCTCCGTCTGGATTCCAGCCCTGGGAGCCATGCCTTCTGTCTAGGTAAGAAACGTCCAAACCTGTAGGAATTTTTTTTTTTGAGTTTATCCGAACCAAACTGACAATTGCCAGGAAGCAAACTCTCAACGGTTTGAGAAAGTGCTCCAGAAAATGGCAGCCTTACCATTTATTTTGTACATCAGAATCAGAGGGGAAGATGGAGATGCCTTACATGTAATCCATTGGTGATAGATTAGGGAGGTGGGAGAAGGCAGAGAGGGGAAATCTTTGAGGTTGGGAAAAGAGTAAAACGAATTAGACACATACTTTGACATTTGTGGGTATACGACAGTTAACAGTGAACAAGTAACATGATAACAGTGGTCTCTGCTGCTGTCCTTGTGCTGAGGGGCCTGGAAGAAGGGAATTACCGGCCTTTCCAAAGGTATGGCTGCCTCAGCCTTAGAGGCAGGAAGGCTCTAGGCAGGCTCTGGCTCACGGAAGTAAAGATCGACCTTTGTCAAGGAAGCTACCAGCCTGGGAGCGGCTGCCTGCTTTAGTTAGAAAGTCTTCATTGCAGACCTCCCTATGTGGCTGCTTTCAGCCTCAGAGTTTGTAAGGCCCGCCCTGGAGGCCTCCCTTGAGCCAGTCAGGGTTAGCGTTGTGGCCCTTTTTTGGCTACCCTTCCAAGACATTCTCCAGATCGTGAGGCTCTGCCCGGGTCCTTGTCCAAGTGTTTGAACTCCTTGGAATTCCAGTAAAAAGAAACCGAAAGCAGAACGGCCAGCCTGTCTGCGCCACACCAACCCTTTTTAAGTTTTCAGATGTGCAGAGTTTGCCCGGGATGCCCATGTGTGGCCCTGGCTTTCTTACCACCAGCCGGGCGGCTGGGGAAACAGCACGCGGCTCCGTCAAGGCGAGGGCTAACGTGTGGGCGCACGGACATGTTTAGCCTCTTTGTCAGACCCTTGAGTGTTTAGGACATCCATCTAGTGCGTTTCCTTGCAAGTGGCATCGTGGGACCCTACAGCCTGTGCTCCTGCCTCACTGCCAGCCCTGGGGTTTGGCGGAGACCCCACCGGACCTCCTGCCACTCTGCGCATCTCCTTGGCCAGCTGGGCAAAGTGCTGCCTCTCTGGCACGTGTTTAATGTGAGTTTTTCTCTCTATTCTCGGGTTGGCTCCTGCAGCCCTCAAGCTGCAGTTGGAGGAGAAGCTGTTTGGGCAGCACCTGGCCACAGAGGTGATTCTCAAGGCGCTGACTGGCTTCAAGAGCAACGAAAATCCCAAGAAACCACTGACTCTTTCCTTACACGGCTGGGCTGGCACAGGCAAGAATTTTGTGAGCCAAATTGTGGCTGAAAATCTTCACTCAAAAGGCCTGAAGAGTAACTTTGTCCACCTGTTTGTGTCGACCCTGCACTTCCCTCATGAGCACCAGATAAAATTGTACCAGGCAAGGGAACCCTGTTATCCGGTCCCCCCCACCCCCGCGCGCCCATGTCTCTGCTTCTTTTCTCCCCCCTGCAGAAGCCCCAGGCCCCGCTGAGTTAAGGCACCTACCCCCGTAACCCCTGGCCATTTGAACAGCTCTCCTACAACTCTGTCCTCACTTGATTCCAAAATAATACAGTGGCGTAGATGACATGCTCATTAAAAGATGGAGGCCAGAGTGGTGAGGGGACTTGCTCCTTATCCTTAGTCTTCGTGACCCGGCAGCAAATCAGAAACTTGAACCCGTATCTCCTCACTGCCAGGTCGCAGGGTAGCCACTTTCTGCAGGGAGTGCGCATGCCCGGCATTCCCGTCACAGCGCTTGGTAGGTGGAGTGGTCTCCAGTGATCAACAAGCAGACAGTTTGCGTGGCCGCGGCTTCCTGGAGGGCGCCCCGCTGTCCGGCAGCCTTGCCTCCGCGTGTCGCGCTGTAGCCTGGGGAGCCTGTCCCTGCTGCGCAGCTTTCACTTCCGTTGCTCCCCCATGCAGAGCCTTGGCGCTGGTTTCTTTCTTCAAATGAGAGCCTCGAGAATGGGACCTGAAGACGATTTCTCCTTGAGATATTCTTTCCACATGTAATTTATGCCACATTATCTAGTAGGGTTCTCATTGGAATGACTGTCACCCTCAGAAAGGCCGACATTCCTGCTGGTGCGTGGGGACTGAAGTATGAAATGGAAACTGAACTGAACAAGGAAGTGAAAATAGGTGTGAGACAGGGAAAGTTGCCAAAAGGAATAATTTTCTTGTTTTCTGAGTTCTTTCAGAAATCTCTAGAAATATAGTAAGAGGCAAGGATGCCTCTAGGGCCTTTCACATATGGACCAGCTTGAGAGCTTGTTAGTTGAGTGTCTGTTTGTTTCAAAAAGCCTGGGAAGAAATGGTGGTTTTTTGGTTTTTGTTTTTAAAAAGATTTTATTTATTTATTTTTAGAGAAAGGAGAAGAGAGAGAGAGACATCAATGTGTGGTTGCCTCTTGCGCGCCCCCTAATTGCAGTCTGGCCCTCAGCCCAGGCACGTGCCCTGACTGGGAATGGAACTCGTGACCCTTTGGTTCACAGGCTGGCATTCAATCCACTGAGCCACACCAGCCACGGCAAGAAATACTTTTTGTGAAATGTTACCTAGCTCCTTTATTCATGCACTAGGAAAAGGTATTGGTCCTTGGCACTGCAGGTCTTCCTCTAGTTTCTTATTCCCCAGTGTGGCTGGTAAGATGGAGATTTCAGTCCACAGTGACAAAGTTATGGGTTGGTTAACAGTGAAATAAACACTTATGTATCTTATTCCTGGAGTGACATTTAGCCCTGGCTGGTGTGTGGCTTAGTGGATTAAGTGCTGGCCTGTGAACTAAAAGGTTACCGGTTTGATTCCCAGTCAGGGCACGTGCCTGGGAGGGCTAGGTCCCCAGTTAGGGTGTAAGAGAGGCAACCGGTCCATGTACCGTATTCTGCTGTGTATAACACACATCCTTATTTCCCCCTCAAGAATTTTGGGCAAAAAGTGCACGTTATACACTGCAATATACAGTATCTCTTGCACATAGATGTTTCTCTCTCCTCCCTCCCCCCTCTCTAAAAGTGAATAAATAAAATCTTTAAAAATAAGTAGTAAAAAGTGGTATTTAGCATGCCATAGGAAAAATCTTTGCATTTTAGCACCTGTCTCTGCTGGTTTCCACTTTTTTTAAAAAAAAGATTTTATTTATTTTTACAGACAGGGGAAGGGAGGGAGAGAGGAAGAGAAACATCAATCATTTGCCTCTTGCACACCCCCCACTGGGGACCTGGTCTGCAACCCAGGCATGAGTCCTGACTGGGAATCGAACCAGCGGCATTTTTGGTTCGCCGGCCCACACTCAACCAACTGAGCCACGCTGGCCTGGGCTAGTTCCCACTTTGAATAGCTAATGTTTTGGAAAAGCTGTTAACCAGTGTATGGAGGTTGGCTAGGGTGCAGTTTCTAAGAATTCTTCGTTAACCCCTGGAGTGTTCTGATTTTCCCCTCTTGGGGTGTGAGGGGTAGGGTGGCACTTGCTCACCCCTTGATCCGTCCTTCGAGCCTCCACGTCCTCTTTATTTTATGGTTGGCCAGGACCAGTTACAGGAGTGGATTCGGGGTAACGTGAGTGCCTGTGCAGGCTCCGTGTTCATCTTTGACGAGATGGACAAGCTGCACCCCGGGATCATCGACGCCATCAAGCCGTTTCTAGACTACTACGAGCAGGTCGGAGGCGTGTCTTACAGGCGGGCTGTCTTCATCTTTCTCAGGTGAGTGGGGGTGGCTCCCCGGGGACACAGCTGCACTTCCTTCTCCCCGGGCTCGAAGGAAGTCCTGGTGACCAGCAGGAACAAGAGTGCCAGCCTGGCAAAAGGGACTTCCTGATTTCTTCTACTTTTGGGTTGCCAGCGTCAGCATGGCAGAAAGAGGACAGGAGAAAATGAATGAAAAAGTTGCTGAAAATAGGCAATTTCGTTAACCTGTACATGTTGTTTCTGAGGGTCACAAAAAGTCATAGGATTATGTAGCAAGTTCTGGAAAAGCAGGCGTTAAGCTCCTTGGAGGCAGACACTATTTTTCCTTTGTCTGGTAGCACTTAGTAAATATTCCTTGGTTAAGAATGAAGTTTAGAGCAAGTACGTTTCCTGGTTAGACACAGAGGCCTTAATACATGGTTTTAATCCTTGTCTCTTGGGCAAAATCAGCAATGCAGGCGGGGACCTCATAACCAAGACGGCCCTTGAGTTTTGGCGGGCAGGAAAAAAGAGGGAAGACATTCAGCTGAGTGACCTGGAACATGTGCTGTCTGTCGGAGTCTTCAATAATAAGCACAGTGAGTCTTGCAGGGTGACCGGGGGGCGGGCCCCTTACCCTGGTGGCAGCAGTTTGAAAGAAAGGCTTCGTCCTTTAAGCCAACCACAGAGCCACAGGATCCGCTCGTCTCTGCAGCTTCGCTGAACCAGGGGCTTTTTCTCAGAGCATTTCTTAGGGTTTCCATGAAAAGGAACCTCGGTGGTCTCATCGTGAATCCCTAACTGGACAGGTCATGGTGGGTAGTCCTACCCCAGGCGTGTAACTCCTTTAGTAAAAGGCTTATTGTTGCCTTAAGCAAGCCCTGTCCCTTGCTTCTGTGCATCTAGGTTAACACGCCTTTGAAATGCTAGGGTAAGTCTCTTTTTCAGACCCCTCAAGGGGGCTCATAATCTTAACTCTCCTGCAATCCAGTCCCCACCTTGCATCCCTCCTTAGTTTCAGAAGCATAAAGGAAACTGCCAGCTGCCATTCTAGGAAGGATTTTTGTCAGTCTGTTGAGATCTTGCTTCCAGGTGTAGCCTCTGTTGGCTCGAACAAATTTTTATAAAAATCCTCTGTAGTTTTGGACATTTCTTAGGCTGACATATTCTAGAAGCCAGTTAGCAGGGGGAGCCAGCTAATGCAAACATCAGGCTTGTTGCATTCTTGACAAGAATTTCAAGGGTACAGACAAGGAGAGTGTCCTGTGGGCTGGGATCAAACGGGCCCTGTAGGAGCAGGCCAGGTGGCCATGGCACTGTCTTGTTTTGCAGGCGGCCTGTGGCACAGCAGACTGATAGACAGAAACCTCATCGATTACTTTATTCCCTTTCTGCCCCTGGAGTACACGCATGTGAAGATGTGTGTACGGGCAGAGATGAGGGCCCGTGGCTCTGCTGTAGATGAAGACGTTGTCACCAGAGTGGCGGATGAAATGACATTTTACCCTAAAGACGAAAAGATCTACTCAGACAAGGGCTGCAAGACCGTGCAGTCACGGCTGAGTTTTTACTGACCTCTCATCCGGCCAGGGTAAGAGGCAGCTGGGGGCTCGGCAAGCCGAGGCCTTGCCTTTCAGAATCACTTTTGATAGGGGAGCTTGCGTCAAAGATTTCAGCCTCAGCTGACGGGCTTCGGTGACCAACGCCGTGGAGAGCTGCTGTCCCAGGAGCCGGAATGCAGAACCCGGAGCAGTTTAGTCTGTGTGGCCCAGGGGTTCTGCAAGGGTTGGAACTGGTGTCCGAGTTCTTGATAACAGACAAAGCAGCACTAGGAAAATGGCCTCCAGACCACAACTCTTGATGATTAACCTTTTATCCGAACCGCTTACCGAACCTTTCTTCTCCTTATAAGAACAGTTGGCTTGCCCTGGCTGGTGTGGCTCAGTGGATTGAGCACCAGGCAGCAAACTGAGAAGTCACCAGTTCAATGCCCAGTCAGGGCACATGCCTGGGTTGCAGGTCCTGTCTCTTGTTGGGAGCATGCAAGAAGCATCCAATCAGACGTTTCCCTCTCTTTCTTCCCTTCTCCTCTCTCTGATGATTAAGAAACAAAATCTTTAAAGTAAAAAGGTTGGTTTGGGGTGAGATGTTAAGACGGTTTTTGAGGGTGCATAACCCCCCCCGCCCCGTCTTCTCAGACACTGGCAGCCTGACTGAGGGCGCACAAGGATTTGGTCCTGTGTCTGCGCATTGGTTTTGGTGGTGACTGGCAGCGTGAACAGACCAGATTTCACCTTCTGGCACCCCTGGTGGGACACCTTCACCGCTCCCCAGTAAGTCTGGGTATTTGGCGGGAGTCCCTTTGGCTGCCTGGACTGGGGGGTCTTGGGTGTGGATCTGGGGACTCCCTAGCAGCTGCCAGGTGGTTTCAGTCGGGGCCTCTCCTCCGATTCTCAGCACTCACTGTTGCCTTCACTTGTGATTGAATCTCCGTGATTTCCGGTTTGGGACTGCAGTCCCGGGGTAATGAAGGTGCCTTCTGGATTGTGTGACAACTCAAATATCACAGGGTTCTGTCTGGTAGACTTATATTTACAAGTGGAAATATACACTAGAAATGCTGGAGTTTTCAAGGATGTGTATATTTTTATAATGTTTTTACGTATGAATCTTAGGGACTACAAATACAGGATGTTTCTTATTTTAAAACATGGGAAGGACACAGATGGAATAATTGTCTATTTTATCAGAAATTCTGAAAATAAATGGTAAAATGTATTGTCAAATGTGTGGTAGTGTGTGTTCGCAATTATAGCACAAAGTAGGTCAGTCGGAAGCCGTGGCTGGTCCTGGGTGTCATCTGGTGAGGACGCCCTCTGCGCAGTGGTAGGCCGGACTGCCCTGGCCACCGGAACGCAGACGGGACTCCAGCCAGTGTGACTCGCGCTCTCGTAGTTGCGATGGCACTACAGGTACAATGAGAACATGCGGCCTTTGTACGTAGATGTGGTAGGATGGGTACTTTTATGATACGGAAAGCCTTACAGAGGATCACACTGAGTCCTTTTAAAAATGCCAGGGTGAGCCCTGGCTGGTGTGGCTCAGTGGACTGAGCACCAGCCTGCAAACCAAAAGGTCACCGGTTCAATCCCAGTCAGGGCACATGCCTGGTTGTGGGTTGGGTCCCCGGTTAGGGGTGTGCAGGAACTGACTGACTGATGTGTTTCTCTTTCTCTCTTCCTTCCTCCTTTCTCTAAGTAAATAAAATCTTTTAAAATAAATAATAAAAAAAATGCCAAGATGAGCCTTACATTTTGTAGTACAAACGCACCAATTGGAGCTAAGTTACATTTCTTTTATAACCTTTTGGATGTCTGATCAGGAGACAAGATTTTCTGTTTACAATGACGCAATAAACGCCACGCGCGTGGGCCACCTTTGGACCGCCCTTACTGATCTGTAGCTTGAAAAGTCCACGTTGTCCATGGCACAGCCCCACCCCCAACCCAACCCACAAGATACAGACAGGAGCTTGAATTGACCTAGTGAATATAAAATAAAGCCAACGTTTTATCCTGTGAGATGTCACCTGCACATTTTTTCCATAGTTTATGTGTTTGGTAACTGAAAAGTTTGGGCGTGGAATAAAGGCTCTTCAACCGCTTGGGTGCTGGGCTCAGAGTACCCGAGCATCGCAGCCTGCCTCACGTGGAATCGGTGTCCACCCTGGGGAGACGGTCTGCTGTCCACAGGCAGAAACAGAGTTAAACTGGAGTAGACGCGGGCTGTACTCCAACCGTGTTTTCCTGGATGGAGGTGGTGAGAGCTGGACTTCTAATACACTCTCCTAAGGTTAATGGGGAAGGGCGTTGTGATGTGGGGTAAGTGACTGCCCATGTTCTGGACCTGAGCACAGCTGAGCTCAGGCCAGGACACCTAACTGCCAGGTCTCACCGCCCAGAGCTGGAAATAAAACCCTAGTGGTCAACCAGAGCTCGGCTCAGTCGCACCTCACCCGGCCTCGTCTCCGTCAGAGAATTGTTAACACCAGCCCTCTCCCCAGGCCCGAGTAGCGAGCTGACTTCCTAGCAAGTTCAACCCTCTTCGCTGTCCTTGCGCCCACACCCCTCGTTTCTCAGTTGAAGGCGCTCAAGACCCAGGAGACTGACGTGCTGGGTTTGGCTTCCAGCCTGCTCCTCCTCCACCCCGCAATGCCTCATCTACGAAGATGGCTTTCCGCATTTAGTCAGGGCACCTGTGTTTCCGAACCAGGGGGCCCCAGGTGCTGGGGCTGCCATCTTCAAATGAAGGATCAGCCCTAATCTGTGACTCCTGGGGACATGACAAAAGGCCAGCCTCGGCTCCGCATCAAGATCTTCCCAACACAGGGCCGTGTTTAGGGGACCCGGGCAGCACTGAAGAGCCTCTGTACAGGCTGGGTGGCCGTGCGGCAAGGGGCTCCTGCGTCGGCCCAGTGGCCAGGCTGCCGTCGTGCCTGTGCCTGCTGAAACCTGCCCCCGTGCGAACGGCTCAGGCACCCCCACCACCAGGAGCCCCGTCTGTCCGCAGGGCCCACATGAGCTGCGTAACAAGGTGTGTTTAGTCTCCTACGGTGCTTTACACATCTGCCCGGCACCCCTGGACTTGACCTCCGTGGCCGGGCATCCGGAGCTCCAGGAATCCCAGCACGGTGTGCAGCGCCCGTGCAGCGGGGCGAGGAGCCGGGTTCGTCCCAGGGGCCCGAGTCTCCGCATTGGCTTTGCGTCACTGTGACCTGCACTGTCCCCGCTATAGGTCTTCCTTCGTAGCTTAGGCATGAAAGGCCTACTACAGGGGAGGGGTTTTTCTCCTTTGAAAATGTGTTCAGTCCCGGCCGGGTGGCTAAGTTAACTGAAGCATCTCCCTGTACACCAAAGGTCGTGGGTTCCATCCCCGGTTGGGGTGCCTGTGGGAGGCAACCAGGTGATGCTTTTTTTCTCACATGGATGTTTCTCCCTTCTGTCACTAAAATCATTGCACATGTCCTTGGGTGAGGATTTTTTAAAAGTGTTCAGAAATTACAGTTTTATTGTAAACTGGTAGCTACTGGCATCGATGAAAATACTGTTCCAGGCGTCCTCAGAGCGGTGGGGGGGTGGTGACGGGAGAAGTCAGGGCTTCCTAGGAGGGACTGGGCGTCCCATTCAACGTAGGAAGTGGTAATAAATGAGTAAGGTTTTAAAAAGTGGGAAAACTTGCCCGATAGCATGTGGCTCCTTCAGGAACGAGGGCAGAGGACGGCCTTCCCTGGCAAAGCTCGATGGCCAGCAAGTGACGAGTGGAAATACTTTCCTTTCCGAGACACTAACGAGTGTTCCATGTTACGGAGATTAAAACCCTTGGGAAGGACATTTAAACCTTCTGCCTGTGTCCTCTTACATCCTTGTCCTTTTGTCTACATAGTTCACCCTGGCCAAGTAGCTCTGTGTGAGCATCATCCCCATAAAGCCAAGGTTGTGGGTTCGAGACCTGGTCAGGGCACATACAAAAATCAACTGATGAATGCATCAGTAAGTGCAACAAATCAATGTTTCTCTCTAAAGTCAATAAAAAATTAAAACTAAATAAGTGCGTCACTGCTCCTTGCGATGGTTGCCCTGGGACAGACCTGGTTACTGCTGCGGCCTCTGTCCCCACCCTGTGGGACGCGTGCTACCAACTTGGGATTTTTTTGCAGTGAAGACATCACAGCGTATGTTATCATGGTGGGAACTTTAAAAAAAACACACAAACCCAAGAACTAAAGAGTCTGAAAAGCTTTTCATAATGTTAAAAACCATTTTAAATAAAGTTATCACATTTTCAGTAACTTTTTCATCCTTCCTTGAAACAGAAACACTTGAAATTAAAACATGATTTTTAAAAAATCATGAGCCCTGATCCCAGTGGGCTGAGAGCAGCTACTTCCTTCAGGAAGGCTCCTGGGGCCCTTCCTTCTGAGGCCACGTCCACAAGGTGACGGCCTGCAGGCCCGGCCGAATGGGCACACCGCCCAGGAAACGCTGGTCCGCTCCAGCGGGGAAAATTCACTGGACTCCCGTCCCGGGGAAGCGCGGGGAGGTGCGCGGAGAGGCCGGGTGTCAGGCAGCGGCTGCCACGCCGTCAGTCGTCGTAGTAATAATCCAACTTGGTGAAAACAGTTTTGCAGCCTTTGTCAGAGAAAACTCTCTCCTCTTTGGGGAAAAATGTCATCTCCTCAGCCACTCTGGTCACAATGTCCTCATCAACTTCATAGCCTCGGGACTGCATTTCAACTCGGATGCACATTTTCAGGTGTTTGTATTCCAGGGGAAGGAAGGGGACAAAGTAGTCAATGAGATTTCGGTCAATTAAGCTGCTGTGCCAGAAGCCACCTGGGAAGAAGAAACAGGTGCTGTTCACCCACCGGCCGGCCGCCCACCCATCCACCCAGCGCCCGTCTCCTGGGCGAAGAGGGGAGCCAGGCCCCGCACCTGCCCCCAGGGAGCTCAGGGTCCAGCGAGGCAGGAGCCACACCCTCGAGCTGCTGCTACAAAAGCCAAAGGCGACAGTAAAGGGACACCTTCCTTACACAGCGGGCGCTGGCGTGACCACTCAGGACGTGACTCCTGGAGCTGAGGTGGAACAGAGGCCCAGGCCGCTGTGCGCCCGCGGCCCGGAACAGGCAGAGCCGAGAGGGCAGGAGCGACTGACAGGCAGAGCTTCAAGGAAAGGGAAGGTGAGGCATTCCCCAGGGGGACCAGACGCTTCTTTATTCTGGAAACTTGCGACTCACTGGAGGTTCTGCAGCTGGATTAGCAACAGGGTCGAAACCCACAGCTGCTGCTGGCCTGCCCGCACCGGACAGTGCTTTTTGGGGGTCCAAAACTAGGGCCCTCAGGGCGAGAACGTGGGATGGCCCCGGGATGGGGGCGGCTCTGCACCCGCCCAGCCGCACGACACCCCACTTCCCGGCGGCTTCCCGGACCCCCGACCCAGCGCATGCCCAGTCCGGAGGGGCCACCGCGCCGCAGGGTCGCGCCCGGCTGCTCCGCTGCTCCCTCAGCCCCCTGCTTTCCTCCTGTGCCGCCGTCCTGCTCCGAGTCTGACGCCCACTGCAGTTTGTCACACAATTCTGACACCGGCTGGGCGTCCTGCAATCCAAGTCGGGTCCGACACCGCCCGCCTGGGGACAGCGTCAGACCCCACGGCCAAGGGCTCAGCACCCCCACTTCAGCCAACTGCAAGGCCAGGATGTCACCTGCGCTTCTGACCGGCTGGCTAGCGGTTCCAAAGACCCCCTCACGGGGTTCAATTAATTGGCTAGAGCAGCTCACACAACTCGGAAACATTTTACTCACTAGACGGCCAGTTCATTATAAAATAATGTAACTTGGGAGCAGCCAGTGGAAGAGACTCAAACATAGTAATGTTGTAATAACCCGGTGTGGTGTCGGGCGGGCCCAAAGATACGGGGCGGGGTGGGGGGGGGCACTGTGTAAAGCACAGGACTGTCTAACAGCCGTGCTGTGCACCTGGGACCAGTACAAAGTAACAGTGAATGACAACTGCCACTGAGAGACTCAGAGCTTGAGGCACGGGGACAGGACAGGGGCTTCTGTGCCTCCCCGCCGATGTGCAGACAAGCCCAGCACCTCTCCATGCTCACGGCCGGAGGCTCACTGCACCCCACGCTGCTTGGTCTTCTTGGTTTTCACTTAGGCTTCACTACGCTAAGCCAAGCCAACCCGCAGCGGCTCTCCCGTCCCGGGAGGGCAGGGGGCGGGACTGAAAGCCTTCCAATCACAAGCAGGTCGCTTCCCCTGGAAACCAGCCCCGGCCCTCAGGTGCTTTCCTAATGTCCCCCCATCAACACAAATTCAGGCTGTGATCGAAAATAGTTTGTTCTGAATATACCTTTAAGTCTCTCTTACCACTTCGGGAATTCCAAGGGTTCTAGGAGCTCTGTCCCAGGGACAGGGGAGAAGACCAAATACATATTTCTTACTACAAACCACAGCATCACAACGGGGTTTGTGTGCCAGGACGGGGTGGAGTCTGAAGCCGTGGGAAAGCATGAAGCTGAGCGCCACGCTGGAACGGGACAGGTCCCAGGCCTGCAGCGCACAGGGACTCCCCGCGTGGGAAGGCTGCCTCTGTGCCAGGCACGCCCCGGGCCCTGGGAGTGAAGCCCGGGGCCAGGCAGACACGGGCTCTGCCCTCCTGTGGCTCACAAGCCAGGGGCGCCCGCAAGCCAGCAAGTGGACAATGCCGCGTAGCGCCGGAGGCTGTGAACGGGAGACGGAGACAGCCGCTGGGCAAGGAGGGCTGGCGGGTAATTGGCTGGGTGGCCAGGCCAGGCCTGGCTGAGGCGGCGACCTCCAGGCACAGGGTGAGCAAGGAACCAAGCACACAGGCACCCAGGGACAGTGTGTTGGTGGAACGGGCGATCTCTGACGGCCTCGGAAACCACCTACGGACCCTCCGCAGCTCGTCCCCTCAGCCGGACGCCCCCGAGCCTCCCCTGGAATACCCAGCCGCCAGCCCCCCTCTGCCTGGAGGCCTCCGCGTGCCCTCGCTCACTGAGCAGGCCCATCTTCACCTCCCGCCCCTCCCCCACACGTGCGCGGCTCCCAGGTCTGTCCCCCTAAATGGCAGTGCCACCCCTGCAATTGCAAAACCAGAGCCTTATCTATCATTCCTACATGAAATCTTATTGTTTCTACCTTCAGAATGTCTCCTAACGACAAGGTCACCACCCCCACCCGGCTGCCCCAAGCCCCCGGCATTTCTCCCCTGGGCTGCTGCAGCAGCTCCTGGCCTGTTCTCCCCCCCCCCCCCCCCCCGGCCCGGCCACCCACAGTCTGTTCTCCGCCCAGCGGCCAGTGCGGCCCTGTTACAGCCAAGTCTGAGCGCGTCCCTGTCTGACAGAAACCCTCCGGGGGCTCCTTTCCCTCCATGGAGTCAAACCCCCGGCCTCGCCGTGGCCCAGGCCCTCTGCGGTCTGCACCCCCAGCCCAGCTCCATCTCATCAGCCTGTTCTTCTCCCTCGTTCGGGCTGGGCCGGCTCCAGGGACCCCAGGTGCACTCTGAGGTCCGCACGGCTCGCGATGTCACCCTCACAGAGAGCCTTCCCCGACCTCTCTACTTAAAACGGCAGCTTAATCGACATATCCCAGCGCCCGACACATGCATGTCCTCACTCACGGTCATCAGGGTGCAAGCCTGAGAAGTTCTGTGTTTTTGTTCACCGCGTGCGCCCAGTTCTTAGACCAGTGCCAGGCACCTCGTCATTGCTCAACAGCCACTTGTCGGAGGATGAAGGCGTGCAAGCTCGGCCACCTGCTCAGGGCCACAGTCCACAGGTGGCAGAGCCCGGTCTGCCTGGTTCTGAAGCGCATGCTCAGCGGCCTCTGGAACCTCCTGTAACGCGGGTTCCAGACACCTGGCCTCACCTGCTGCGGGTGTAGGCTAAGGTCTCCAGTGCACATGCCCACACTTTCTGGCGTGCCAAGAAACTACTGAACGTGTTACAGAGTATTCTTTTATCTATAACATTCCAGTTGCACGCATTGACATAAAATACTCCGTACTGTTCACGCAACTCTACAGAACTACAAATTTCTTGGCAAGTCTGTTACAAAGAACTTTTGCTTCGTAATCTCCAGAACAAACCCAAGCAGAGCAGTGGTTAACGGTCATCGTACACAACGCACGGGTTTCACCCTGGAGATCAGCCTCCACCGTGGTGGCTTCCCCCCTCCAAGGGGTCAAGGTCTAAGGTGTGCGATCCCCTGCAAGAGCAGTAAGCTTGGTAGCCGAAGCTCGGGCTCTGGAACCAGGGACACCTAACAGGCTGCATGGGCTTGGGCGAGCTGCTATGGCTCTGAGCCTGTTTCCTCGGCTGTAAAATGGGGGTGGCAATACCTACTTTCCACCCCAGGAGGTTACTGTGAAGACTATACAAAGAAATCTAAGACTATAGTCTTTGAAAAAAAAAAATGCATCTCAGTGAGTACACAACACAATAAACAGATGAGATACTATAAAATTGTATACCTGAAACCTACATACTTCACTAACCCATGTCACCGTAATACATTCAATTAAAAAACAAAAACAAGTGCTTCTCACACTGTGGTGTCCACAAAGGCCACCTGGGGCGTGCAACATGGATCCCGCCCAGAAGTGGTCTGCAGAGGGCCCCCCGACATCTGCGTTTCCAGCCAGCGCTGGAGGTGGGCACGCGGGGATTTAGAGCTCAGTAGGACAGGCTCCTGGACTTACTGTTCTTGTTATTGAAGGCCGACACAGACAAGGCGTGCTCCATGTCTCTGAGCTTGATTTCTTCCCTCTGCTTCCCACTCCTCCAGAAATCTAAAGCCACGTCTGTGATCCTTTCCGCTCCCGCGTTGCTGCAAGGTAAGTGCAGGGAATGAGGACTGGGTTTCCTCCCGAAGCCCACGGGCTCGGGCTCAGGGCTGCTCTCCCGTGTCCCAGCCCTGGACGTACCTGAGAAATATGAAGATGGCTTTCTGATAGGAGACCCCATCCAGGTGGTCATAGTAGTCTAGGAAAGGCTTGATGGCGTCGATGAGGCCAGCGTGCATCTTGTCCATCTCGTCGAAGATGAAGATGGACCGCGCACAGGCACTCACATTGCCGCGAATCCACAGCTGTAACTGATCCTGAAGGGCAAGGGGGAGGCCAACACAGAGTTCTCAGCCAGCGCACCCCCAGCGCCCAACAGGAGCGCGGCAAGTGCTTTGACACAGGCTGCATTTACAAGTGCTCGGCATGGTCTCGGAACTGTGCCAGGAAAGGCACACACACAAGCGCTTTTCTGCTTCTCCACAACCCCACCTAGTGGGCATTACTATACCCATTTCACAGATGAGGAAACGGACACAGAGAGCCTCTTCACCTTGTTCAAGATTATAAGATTATAAAATTACTCTTTGAATTGCCCTGGTTGGGTAGCTCGGCTGGCTAGAGCATCGTCCCGATACACCAAGGTTGCAGGTTCAATCCCCAGTAGGTCACATACAAGCAACCGATGAATGCATAAATAAATGGAACAACAAAAATCTATATTTCTCTCTCAAATCAAAAATTTTTTTAAAAATTTAAAAATAAGTAAAATAATAAAATTACTATGTGGCAGACCTGGGACCTGAATCCCACCCTGCCTGATACCAGTGCTGGGGCACTGAGTTGCTGGCCCTTTGTCATTAAAATAGTGATGTTGCTGTTTCCTGTGCACACCGGCCCGTTTCCTGTCTGCACCAGCCCATCTAGAAAGAAGCGGAGACCAAGTGACTTATTCCGCCACTCAGTCCTTAGAATAGCCTTGAGAAGGTGCTCTGTGTTTCCCACGGGGAAATAAGAAACGCGGGCTTCTTTAAGCGAGGCAGCTGGACTCCAGAGCGTCCGGGCTGTGGCATGAGTGTGGTGAGCTAACACTCCTGAGTTTCTGGAACAATGCCTGGCATTTTTGCCTACACAGAAGCACTCCCTCAGAACACATTCAGGCACTTCTTAAGGTACTAAGCAATCAAGATAAGGAGAAAGGACCCTTCAATCAGAAATCTGAGCTGTGGTCCTTCCTAGATACCAAGCCTCCCGCTCCCCCCACCCCCAAATGAAGAAGAGAAATGAGCTGTTTTCTGAGAGGACTCTGGAAGTTACAATGTAGGTCTTGACTTCTTATGATTTTGACCCTTGCTTGGCTCTTGTGAACACGGTTACAATGTTCCTTTGCACTCATCCCACCTAAGCAGTAATTATGCTCTAAGGGCACAGGCTAGCCTCTAGGCACAGGGGAGACCCTCCAGAGAGCTGGACTGACTTGCGGGGGGGCGGGGGTGGGGCAGGGGGATTCCCCCCACCAAGCAAGTCAGTGTTTAAACAAGGATTCACGCATATCTGCTAGGCTCCAGCTGCCACGGTCCCCCCCCCCCCCCCGCTGCTACCCAATTTTCAGGGAAGGACAGACAGCATGTGTTGAGCACTCAGTACAGCCACTGTGCTCAGCGCTGTTCCCGTAACGTATGAGTGTGATCTCCCCAGACCCATCAAAGCCGCGCACACTACTGAAGTCCCTATTTTACAGCTGAGGAAGCCGAGGCCCAGAGAGGTTAAGTCCCTTGCCCAAAGTCACACAACTATTAAGTAGTAGAGTCAGAATGCTAACTAGGATGACCAACTTGTCACAAGTTATCTGGCACTTTCCCAGGGTTAGGACGGAAAATCGCACATCCTGGGAACCCAGGACAGTTGGCCATCTCACGTCCACTGAGCAAAAGGGAAAAATGGGTTTCTGTGGGTGAGGCTGTATTGCTGAGTGTCTTGCCACCTTGCAGGTGTGTTGCATGGATTTAAAAAGGTGACAGTGAACACCTATTTGCATGCTCATGTGGCAGGCAGGCACCTTGGCCCATACTTGACAGAGTTCACTGAATTCTCACCACCTCTGTTTTACGGACATTAAGAACCTGAGTCTCAGAATCGTTAGGTGACCTCTGCAAGATTACACAGCTGGTAGGCTGGAAAGTGAGGACTCCAATCCAGGCTGTAAACCAGAGATATAAAATAAAAGCATTCCGCAACACTGCAGTTAAACAAACTTCGGGCTCTCTAGAAAAGTTGCCACTTTTACAAAATGAGCTAGACTTGATGATCTTTAAGGTGGATTTGATCCTGTCCATCTGTAAAATCCTCTGACCCCACTTACTAAAACCAGTATCACACCAGGCCTGTTTTGGAAACCACAAAATGTGATCATGTAACTGCTTCGTGCATCTGAAACCCTCTGTAACTTCCACGTTTCTCAACGGGAAACCGACACACGTAGCTGTTTTCAGGGCTCACTCATTTCAACAGGCAACTCCCAAATCCCATCCCACAGCCAGGAAACCCCAAACCCAACACCATCTAGGAAGGATTCCGAACTCCGGTGCTTGCCTTATACAGAGTGATGTTGGAGGCGTGTGGAAAGTGCAGTGTGGCCACAAACAGGTGCACATAGTCACTGTTCAATCCACCCTCGTAAATGTTCTCCGCGATGATCTTGCTGGCGAAGTTTTTGCCAGTGCCAGTCCACCCGTGGAGGGAGAGGGTGAGAGGTTTCTTAGGCTTCGGGTTGCTTACGAAGGCAGTCAAGGCATTTAAGATGACTTTCTTGGCAAGGTGCTGTCCAAAGAGCTTGCTGTCCAGATCCTTCTGCAGCACTGGGAAAAACAAAGCCAGTCAGGAGCGGGGTCGGGGGCGCTCGGCTGGCAAAATGTGGCCAAGTTTACAGGAAGGATCAGGTGGAAGCCCGCAAAGCCGGCTAAGCTCTGCAAGCACCTTGGGACGCGCTGAGGTGTGAGCACCTGGCCCAGGGATGGACGGGGGGCCCAGGAGCCCTTCCTCTGCCGGCGCTACCCTCCACAGCCCCGGCCGGAGCCAGGCTCCCTTCCCGAAAAGGTGCTTGGCTCCTCCGCCGCCAGCGTGTGCCCCTGACCCCAGGGCTGCTCCTCCAGCCCTGGGGCCGCGCAGGACGAGTCCCCACCATGCTTTCTGTCTCCGGCCGGGAAGGGGCAAAGCTCTCTTGGGAGGAAGTTGACAACCGTTCCCACCCCCTTTCTGCGGGAAGCAGCCCGACCTGCAGCTCGCCTCCTAAGTGTCCGAGCAAATTCCGGGCTGCCTCCGGCGGCGTTCCCGGGGCCAGGCCCCACCCCGCACCCCGGCCACTCCGGTTCCGGGTCCCGGCCGCGCCAGCCTCAGCTCTGCCCGGGCTTCCTGCGCCCCGGGCCCCGAGGCCCGCCTCCCACCCCCCCGCCTCAGTCCTAGAGGCAGCCCCCAGCCGCCGCCGCGCCCCACCTTCCCGGCTAAGTCTCCGCTTCTGGCCGCAGCACTCGGTGAAAAGGCAATACAGTCGCGGGTAGGATATGTAGCTGGTGAGGACGCCGGCCAGGGCCAGTCCCAGGCTGATGGGCTCCACCGCCCGCACCGTCAGCGGCGCCAGCAGCAGCAGGCCCAGTGTAGCCCGGCCCAGCTTCATGCCCAGACCCCCGCCGCCCTGCGCGTCCCCGAGCCTTCCGCGGACCCGCGCTCCCGCCAGTCAGCGCTTCCGGCTCCGCCCCTTCGGCGCCGCCATCCGTGCATAGGGCGGGCTCTTTGCGATGCCGCCGCCGCCATCTTTGTGAGGGGCAGAGCCCATTTTTGCTTCCGGGAGATGCGCGCCGGAAGCCGTTGCGGGGGGCCACCGTTTTTTATTTTTTAAGGTTTTTTTTTTTTTTAAACAGCTTTAGATTTACAGAGAAATCGAGAAGACAGTACAGAGAGGATGCATGTGCCCCTCCCACCTGGCATAGCTTCCCCCATTATTAACATCTGTATGTTACATTTGTTGCATATAAACCTATGTTGATACATTTGTTCAGATAGTTTCATAGTCGTTAACTAATGCCCCTCTTCTGATCCAGGATCCCATCCACGAACCCACATTTAGTTGTCATGCTCCTTAGGCTCTTGGCGGTGCCTGTTTCTCAAACTTTCCTTGGTTTTGGTGACCTTGACAGCTTGGGGAAGACTGGTCAAATCTTTTGTAGGATGCCCCGCCACCGGAATTTCTCTGCTGTTTGTCTCATGGTTAGACTGGGGTTGTGGGTTTGGGGAAGGAGTATACTCTACAAAGTGCTATTTCTATAACATTATATCAGGGGTACAGACTATCAACATGATTAATGACTATTGACACTGACTTTCATCATCTGGGTGAGGCAGCGTATTTGTCAGGTTTCCGCACTGAAGTCACTTGTGCTCATTTATTCAGTTTAGAGGATTGCCTGTGTGCCAGGTTGTAGACTAGACAGACCCTGGGGCTTGGGGGAAAAATCAGGCACACATGACTCTTTCATTCACCGTCACCTTGCCTTCTATTGGAGCAGAACAATACAGACTTAAAAAACAATCTTCATTTTACAGATAAGAAAACCAAGGCTCAGAGGGAAAGGGATTTGTCTAGGGATATAATAAGAAGCTGTGAGCAGGGGTCAGATCTGACTCCAAAGCCAAACTTCCCTAACCACAATGCAAGCTCTAAATCAGCCCAGAAGTCACCCGACCTGTTATTTCCTCATTCCAAGCTGTTTAAATGCCTCAGGGAAAATGACGGCACAAGTGGCACCATACTTGACAGCTAACACGGTAGAGCCTAAGTCTCTTGAACGAATGAGAAGCTCTCGCTCAGTAAGTCAGCTTTGCATTTGAGCTGCCCATCTCCCAGGCTCTGAACACATGGCCTAATATTGGTGTGAGGAGACACAACACGAACAAGAAATCTGACTCATTTCATATTTAATACTGAAGTGCGGAAGTGATAGAGACATTTGATTTTTTTTCCTTCTTAATGAAAAGAAACAGGTAACTTTGTAAAAATCAGAAAATACCAGTGTCCTTTTGATCCCATTCTAGATTTTCCTGCTGTTCACTGGATCCAATGGAAACAGTGAAGGATTCATTTCCAAACCCCATTCCAGATAATCAGAAGTAGAAGATATGATGACACATATAATAATAAAAGCACAATTTAAAGGGTATTATCTCCCCCTGATCACACAGCTGTTTCCTCCTGAGGCAGCTCAAATTTTGAAAAAGGCAACATATTTACAAACAAGATTTAATAACACTCACAAGAATAGTTTGCCCCCCGCCCCAGTAAAAAAACCACATATTGTTTCAAAAGGTTACAAATTCAGAGCTTGAAAAATCCAGCAGGTTAGCAGCTGGACCAATACAGTCTGTTCTTGGAACCGCCCGCTGGCCAGCGATCGATCGGGCTTCTGCCCAGGACGCCTTCCCTCCCGGGGGATGGGGGACAGTGCTGTGTACACCCCACTCTGCTCTTCTCCCCTTTCGCCACCCTCAGTACCGTCTGTTCATCTTCTTGAACTTCTCATAATGATAGTCATCGGTGGCCTTCTCATTAGCGGGGCGCTTGCGGTTAGGGGGGGACCCTGTGAAGGAAAAGAGGAAAAGCTGTTTGCCGGGCCGGAGGTCACCGACAGGCTTTATGTCCCCCTGGGGAGGGACCATTCTGCACAGGAGCCCCAGTGCCTGCCCTAGTGAACAGAAACCTGGCAGGGCCTCAGTAAGAGCTTGTTACTGAGTGACGCAAACAGACCTGTGGCGGCGTCGGGTGCCAGCCAAAATACGCTGGCATCAGCGTTAGACTAGGGGACCAGTAGGGGCTTCGTTGAGTTTGACCCTGCCCCAGGCGTGGCGCTAAATCCTTTTCGACCTACTTCCCCTAACCCTCACGGCAGTCCTAGCAGGGGCATGTTACTTTGCTCAGAGAGGTTAGGTGACTTGCTCAAGGTCACTCAGACAGTGAAGGTAGGCTGAGAGTGAAACCCAAGTCTGGTGATTCCAAAGGCCTTGCTTACCACACGTTTAACACAACACCCTTTGGGAATCGAAGACCACAAAACCAAGATGTTAAAATAACTTCCCAAGTGAGAAAGAAGAGTGAGAGTAACAGGCTGGAAATTCAGGAGCCTCCGCAGAGTTCACATTTGCCGAGAGTCATCTGCTGTTGGTGAAAAGCTGACACCTGGTGCAGGTGAACATGTGCGAAGGGGCACCGTCAGAGGCTGCTGGCAGGGAGGGGACAATGAGCATCACGCCTCTAGGGGGCCATTTGGCAGCTTCTAGAAAGCAGCCTGAGAACACGATGTAGTCGAGAATGGGCATCAAAGCCCTGCTTGAACAAGGAAAATCAGGAAAGGAGCTAAGTGCCCAGTCAGAGGGAAACAGTTACACTATACCGTCTGTCTTTCCAATGGAAAATGACATGGTCTCTGAAAGAGAAAGTATGTATTTACCAACATGGAGAGGTGTGCGGGGTGGACGACTGAGTAAAACACTATGAGGTCCTCGTAAGTGCACACACAGTTTCCTATATGTGAACATTAAAAAAAAAAGTCTGGCCCTGGCTGCTGTGCCTTGATGGGTTGAGCACTGGCCTGTGAACTGAAAGATCACCAGTTCGATTCCTGGTCAGGGCACAACACATGGGTTGTGGGCCAGGTCCCCAGCTGGGGGCGCACAAGAGGCAACTGATCAATGTATCTCCCAAACATCAATGTTTCCCCCACTTTCTCCCTCCTTTCCCCTCTCTCTAGAAATCAATAAATAAAATCTTTTTTAAAAAGTCTGAAAGGTTTTATCCAGCAATGTTAACAGTGGTTGCCTTTGGGTGGTAAAATTATGAATAACTTTTCATTTACTTTTGTTGATTGAAATTTCCTAAGTTCTTGAGCCTCTGTATCTGACAGCCCAGTGACCCCTCAGAGCAACCCCAAGTGGCAGGCCTTGCTATTTCTTTCCCCGCCTGGGAGATGAGGGAACTGAGGCTTACGAACAGGAGGGCACAAGGCCACGGCCCAGGGCGCAGACTCACACCCGGCGGCGCTGGCCCCAAAGCCAGAGCTCCAGCCCGCAAGCCCACCCGCCTCCACGGCGCCCGCGTGATGCGACCACTGCCGGCAGCTGCAGCCGCCGCTGGACTCACGATCAGGCTCTGGCTTCTCCGTGTCGCCCACTCTCAGCGGACGGGCTTTGGGCTCTTCTTTGTTTCTCCGTATTGGGGCATTGAGCTCCTCATGATAAACTGAACCGAAAGAGACCAGGGGACGTGTCAGACAAACAGGGAACCCGAGGGCCTCAAACCAAAGGGGCAGGGGCAGGGGCAGGGGCAGGGGAGCTTACATCGGTTGTGCTGCACGTAGTTCACCGCCATGTTGGTGGGCACAAAGGACGTCTCACTGTCTTTTTTCTTGTTCTGCTGCTCTGCCAGCAGACGGGCCTTGGCGTCCTCCGTGGAAATGATGTTTTTAATTTTAGCACTAAGGGGAGAAAGGAGCCAGGCCACACATTAGGTCGCCGCGCCTCTGGTCCTCAGACAGAAGTGACCGGTGAGGCAGGCAGCCCACCACTGCGTAAGGACATCCTCTTTCCCGGGGCACAGCTCTGTCCAGTTTGCCAACTCCCTCACAGCCATGCTCCCAGCTCTCCCAGCTGTGGGAGGTGTGGGGGTTACTTTCTTCTGATCAAGAGGAAACTGAGCCTCCAGGATGGAGAGAACTGCCCACGTAAGGCTCAAAGCTAAAAGGCCAGAAGAGAAGCGAGAACCCAGAGGTCTCCTATCTTTCTCTGCGCTTGAAGATGACTCTGACCACGGTATTTCGTCCAGGACCGCCCCCTTGCGGAGCAGGCATTCTGTAGTAAAAAAACCAAGAGGAGGACCAAGGGGTGGCGAAGCCTCTGACACTGCTCTCACCGAACAGGACAGGGGCATGCGCGGGCCTCACTGGAACCGCTGAAGAGCTGTGAGCAAGGGCTGAGCAAAAACGAATGCTTTTACTTTCAACAGACAGGGTCCCTTACGTGTCTTTAACTATCTGACCGACTCTTTGGAGAAACTCCTGGGGACAGCCACCTCGGGCAAACCAGAGAGAACAGAGTTTATGTGGGTTTCCAAGGAGACAGGGGAGAAATGTTCCCTTAACTTGGAACTGGAAAGCAGGAAGCCCCTCCGCCAGCCCCCGGGCAGGAGAGCGGCAAGAGCATGGGCCTGAAACGTACTCGATGCCAAGGTCCACCTCGGGGATGCCGCTCAGCATCTGGTTGGAAAGCATCTCCTCCGTCTTCTTTGCTGAGGAAACGCGGATGTTTTCTGGAAGTTCGTAAAGACAGTCCTCTGCATTCTTGGGCTTCACTTTCTGTTCTTCGTGTTCCACAATCCCTTTCCTCTTCTTCAGCTCTGTCTCAATGTACTTCATCCTGAAGGAAGAAACCCACGGTCTCAGGGCGGGCAGGAAGCTCACCGTGCGCGGCTTTCACATTAGTGGCCCCCAGCCCGGGCCCACAGAGTGCCCATGGTCCAGGTGAAGTTTTCATCAGTCCATGGAGAGGTGAGAAAAATAAAAGTAAGTGTTTTTGTCAAGCTACAATGTACAATGGAAAGCGCCAGCCAATATTATGAGATCATGTCCTACCAACTTATTGGTATTGTTCTATGTGAGATTCTTCGAAAGCAGAAAGACAATGGGGGATGGTAGTAGTTTGTTTCACAGCCTTGTTGGCAAAATCAAGAGTGGGCGGTCCAATGTGTATCCCTGCAGTGTTTGGGGGAGTATTACTAGTCAAGGAATCTTAAATCTCAAGAACCACTTTTAAGGGACTTTTCAGAGTTTTTCAGGTTCTCAGGCCTGGGAAGTGGGCCAAGGGGGACCCACACGGATGTCTCTGGATAACTCTAAACATGCCATCTGTGACTCCATATCCCAGACTGCGTCTGATTGGAGCCCACCCCTGACCACTCACAGACAAACGGACCGCCACCTACATGTCGGCGTCCTCATCCCTTCGGTTGGTTTCTGCTGAAAACGATGTCCCCAGGTGGAGGTCTTCCTCTTCACTGATCCTAAAAGGAGAGAACCGTAAAGCAGAGTCGTAAAGTCACAACTCGGTGAGGCTGAGTTGTATGTTATACAAATGAAATAGGCACACACCAAAAAGCGCAATGTCCTCATGATAGTTAGGGAAAAAATACATGATACGTAAATAAAATAAAGATATACAAGCAAACCGTTGGCCTCTGGAGATTCCTCTAGGGAATCAGCAGATACTTTTACTTTTTACTTTTGTAATTTTGAATGTATTATCTTTATAACTGTGGTTTTATGTTTTCTGAAAAAAGAAAAATAAAACTGCCATATGGATTGGAAAACAATGCACCTTTACAAAAGGGGTGTACCCACACCTCCCTAAGTTCACTTTTAAAGAGGTTTAGTTTTCTTGTGTTTTCAAACTACCCACCCTTTCCAAAGCAGAAAGGACACTTGAAGATGCCCTACTAAAGCTGCTGCTGCAGGCCCAACTCTCTGGAGACACAGAGACCCCCGCAGGGGCTGCAGGTGAATTCGTATCTCAGCGTGTCCTGTACTTACTTATCTTTGCCCCTTTCCTTCAGTTTCTTCATGTCCACCATTCCGCCTGTCTTCATCTGAAAGGGATCATCCTGCAGAAAGCAAACACGGTTGAGCAGAAACATTTCTGTAATTGGCAGCAGACTTCCTTTTCTCAAGAAAATAATCGTCCGCCGAATAGCATCCACATCTTCCCACAGTGCGGGGAGAACCCCACAACTTACCACTAGAGTGGCCTCTTCTTGTACCTTCTCTCCCACCAGCAAGGCCACAGCACTGAGTAAAACCAAAAAGGAAAGGGGAGGAGGGGAGGGGGAAATGGCACCGCTCAGAGATGAGAAAGAACATTTAGGATGCTTGTAAACTGCAATATTAGTGCAGGGGCCAGATAGGCAGGGTGGACGCCAAAGCCAGCTGGGGAAGCCTACAAGAATAACACAGGGCTTAACAAACACTCCAGAATCTAGGGTGGGAAAAGTGGCAAACTTTTCTATAAGGCCCTTTAGCATTATTTTGGCTTGGAAATCTCATTTCTAAGACTTTGCCTTCAGGGAAAATAAAGCTAAAGACAAATGTAGGAAAATACTATTACTGCAGCCTTATCTGATGAAAACTTACAAAACTGACCTACAGGTCCCTGAATAGGGAATTAGTTAAATTATGGTACATACTTGTGGCGGAGTATTATGTAGTCATTAGAAAGGTTTTTGGAAAAATAATCCACAATGTGAATGAATGTCCACAAGGTCATAACGAGTTGAAAACAGCATAGAATAAAAGTTCTCACTATTCTTTACAAAAGGGGGAAAAGAATACAGATAGAAAAGAACACTAAATGTTAACACCGGATTTCTCTGGATGAGAGAATTATGGCTGCTGTTTATTTTCTTAATTAGGCTTTTCTAAATTTTTCAAACTCTTAACAATCAATGTGCTTCCACAATTAATTGGGTGCAATAAAAACATGAATGAGTGATCTGTTTCTGCACTCCTGGAGCGAGCCTTAAGATCACACGGCTCAGGGTACCTCCCGGTTAAACGTTTTCAAAGAACAATGGACCTCTTTCAGGGTAGTGTCAAGAAAAGGGGCTTTCCAAGTCTCAGGAGATATTTTGTGACAGCGACAGGGGCGGGGGCGTGCTGTCATCCCCATCTCCTCCTCCGGGTCCCCCCATGGTACCCACCTCACTCCGTTGGGCCTCTTCCTCAAGTTCTGCACCTCTCGGGTCTCTTCCAGTTTTAATCTGAAAAGAAAAAAAAAAAAAGACAATGCACAAGTTGAGAGACCCTCTGCGGAGCTCGGAGTCAAACAGCAGCTTCGACCGGTACCCCAGCCGGCTGCTGAGTCGCCGGCACGAACCCGCGCCACTGCCTGTCCCTGGGACACCTCTTCCTCTTATGCGGCCTGGGAGTGGCGGCCTCATCCCTACAAGCCCCAATTTCTTCGTCGGCAGAACGGGACACCACCACGGGCGCACAGCTACCAATGTTGTCAACAGGGCTCCTGGCTTGTGTTGAGCCGCTAAGCCGGCTGCTCTTTTCCTGCCCAGTGGAAACCCCGCTCCAAACGCACCGAACCTCTTCTGAGTTCTGCTCATCTTCCTCCGACTCCGAGTCGACCCGGCGCCGGCGGAAAGTCTTCCCGGTGACCGGCATGGTCGCGGCGGCTCCGCGGTCCAGCCGCGGCCCCGCAGCGCTCTTGCCCAGCTGCTTCCGGCGCGCCGCAGTGCTGTCAGAGCGCCGGCCCCTCCGGGCCCCGCCCCAAGCCTGCCTGGCTCCACCTTTCTCGCACCGCCCACCTGTCCACGCCCCCAGCGGTGGCGTCGGCCTCTCTCGATTGGGTCGCCGAGGGGAGGAGGCGGGGCGCGGCCGCCTGGGCCCCACGACCCTGCGCGGCGCCGCCGAGGGTGCGTTTGACTGACAGGCAGCGGTGGCTCGGTAGCGAAGGCAGGTGAGTTTCAGGCTGCTGCCGGCTGCTTAAGGGGGCCGGGCCTCAGAGCAGGGGCGACCCCAGCCCTGATTCCGGCCGGCGGGGTGCCTGGCTGGCCCTGCCAAGCGCGCTAAGCGCCGCGGCCGGGGGAGTGGATCCCGGGAACCCCCGAGCACCGTCACCCCACCCCTCCTCCGGCCAGCGCCCAGGGGGTCCTCGGGTGTCCCGTCGCCCCACTTCGAGCCCCTGGGGACGCGTTGCTTCTCCGGGACCGGAGCCGCCATCTCTTTTATTCTACAGGGCCTGATCCATCATTGAAAGCATGCGTGTCGCGTCTCGGGGCGCTGACTTTTATTTCCCCTGGGTCTGGGCCCTGACGTGTATTTTTTCCTTTAAGGACAAAAGATGACCACTTATTAGTGGTGGTAAATTAAAGTCCCAACGCCGCCTGCCCAGCTAAAAATGACGCCCAGCCACTTCCCGAGGAGAGGTGCGTCTGATGTTTTGAACCCATAGGGCCCCTCCTCGGGTGTTTGCCGGCAGCCTTTCTGGACCGTTCTGGGGGCCTTGCTTTCGTCCTTTGTCACGAGGACTGTCGCTCTGCCCTTTGCCTCTTCCACCCCGAGGATGCTCTGAGGAGTAAGTTTTTTTGAAATCCAGGCATCAACAAATGCTTAGGAAATAACTAAATGCATGAATAGTGTCTGCGAAGTCTTTTAGGAACCCCTTAAATAGTAGTTTTCCTTTTTTTGTTGTAGGCCGGCTTTTTCCTTTGAAAGCACTACCTCACACTTAGCACTCACCAGGTGGCAGGTCCCAGGCTAAGCATGATCTCATTGAACTCGCCCAACTAGCCTTTGAAGTAGCTTCAGTTATTTTTCATTTTGCAAACGAGAATACCGGGGTCTGGTGAGGCAATACGTGCCTTAGGTCACACAGCCCGAAGGTGGAGCGTACCAGTTGCAGGCTTACCCCCGCTGCACGTTTTGCACAGCTCCTGGCACAGCAACAGTTCAGTAAACGCTTGCTGCAGCTGCTGTTATTACAGCTCATTGGCTGCGAGGAGGTGCTGATGGAGGCTGTTTTTGGTTCCCTCTTCTGGAACACCATTCTGAAGTGGGGCAGCATTTCTGGAATGCCTCACTGCTTTCTGGATCATCTTCCTCTAAGACTGTTGTTCTTTCCCCCGGACTGAGACAAATGGCCTTCTCAAGTAGACTCCGGACTTGTCAGGACAGCCTCTTTGCTTCGGTCAAAAGCTGTTTAGTGGCTGTGTGACTTCCAGCCAGTGACTCTGCCTCTCGGAGCCCCAGTCATTCCTCCTTTAGTGATGGAAGTGGAGGTGGATTTAGCTTCCCATGTTGCCAACCTCCAGGGTGGTTATGAGGGTTTAGTGAGATCTGTTAGGATCAGCTCAGCCCATGGGGCTGTTCGAGTGGGGGCAAGGTGGGTAAGGCCAATAAGGGTAACTGAAGGTGCGAGGGAAGCAGGACTTGCCAAGGCAGGAGGAGGCTGAGAGTTCTGCTTTGAGAGTCAGAAGGATGGTGGGCTCTCAGTGAATTAAGACTGCGTTAAAGGAAGGGATGACTGGAGAGGAATTAAGAGTGGGTTAAAGGAAGAGATGTATTGGGGATTTATGGGAAATAGAATCGCTCGGAAGTCGATGGGAGAAAAGAGGGCGGGAGGGAGGGAAAGGGTACCAGAGGGGTGCGGGTGTGAGTGCCGGGTCAGAGGGTGTCCTTGTGTTGGTGGGGGAGCTTGGCAGCCTCACCATTCCTGTCCTGAGGAACTCGGCTCCCTCCGGCTGGGAGGAGGATGAAGCCAGAACCTCCAGGAAAGTGATGAGTAATGGGCACCTGCGGCCTGGTCTCAGCAGCTGGTGCCAGGCCTGGACGCACCGCCTGATGGCTGTGTCCCGGGGGAAATGCTTTCCCCTCACTCAGCGCAGACCCCGGGGGAGGACAGAGTGCCTGCCCTGATTCAGGATGAAGCGTCTTGGAAGCCCCACCAGGGCCCTGAGCAGGTGGGCACGTTGCCAGACACGCTGGCCTGTCTCCTTTCCTCCTGCTTTCTCATCCCCAGGAAAAGACGCGGCCAGTCCTGGTGGGCCAGGAGGGAGAAGCGCTCTGGGGTCGCTATGGTGAAGGCGCCACCCCTCTGGCCAGCATGTGCGGGCTACAGGGCAAGCACCTCCCCGACTCCCAGCAGCCCAGTCTGGTCGACCAGCTGCTCTCCAGGGGCCTGTTCCCAGGATCCAGCTCTCTCAGTAGTGCAGGCTCCTTCCCCTCTCCCTCTGTATTCATTGCCTCCTGTGTGCGCCCCATTTGCTTGCACAGGGGCTGGTAGGAAAGGCTGCGGAGGTAGGCACACCCGGCCTGCTTCCAGCTGTCACTTCTTCGCTGTGTGGCCTTGTGCGACGGGCTCCCCACCTCTGTGCATCCCCTGGAAGGTGCTTACTTGAAAGCGTAAGCGATTCTTGTGCCAGGTGCCTGGTGCCTGGTGCCTGGCTCGGAGTGCGTGCTGCGTCCTGGGGCCCCTGCTGTTGGCTTCAGGGTTGCCTTTTCCAAATCTCATATTCAGACATTTGGCACATGTGCTTGGCTGAGGAGCCAGTGGGACAAAGCTGTCACCTGTGGGTTACCTTTTCCAAAAGACCTCTCCCTGCTCCTACCTTAAATGAGAGAAAAGGAATCTTTAAAAACTTTCCATTTTGATAAAAACAATCAGACTTACAGAAAAGTTACTAGAATAATATAATGAAATCTCATTGATACCCTTCATCTAGATTCATGAATTAGTAATATTTTAGCCCTCTTTACTCCCTATATACTCAGTCTTATTATCATTATTATTCAGGTCCATTTAAGAGTAAGTTACAGGTATCATGATTCTTTACCCCTAAATATTTCAGGGGGAATCATCTAAAAACAAAGACACCATTTCCATCTTCAGAAAGTTTAATGTTGATATAATACCATGTTAGTTTGTTAGGGCTGCCGTAAAGAACCACAGACTGGGCAACTTAAACAACGGAAATGAATTTTCTCACAGTTCTGGAGTCCGGAAGTTCAAGATCAAGGTATCAACAGCTTCGGTTTTTTTGGAGGCCTCTCTCCCTGGGCTTGCAGTTGGCCACCTCCTCGCTGTGTCCTCACGTGGCCTTTCGTCTGTGGGCATCCTTGTGCGTCCAGATGGCCTCCTCTTATAAGGACGCCAGTGAGACTGGATTAAGGTCCATCCTAAGGCCCTCATTTGAATTTACCCCTTTAAAAGCCCTGTCTCCAGTAAGATTACATCCTGAGGTACTGGAGGTCAGGGCTTCAGTGTATAAATTTGGGGGGCACAATTCAGTCCATAAGAACCACTATTATCCAATATCTAGTCCATATTCAGCTTTCTCAACAGTCCACTAATGCCCTTTTCCTCGTCAACCCAGGATCCAATTTTGTCACGTCTGTTTCATGCCTTTTATCTGCGCTGAGAAAGGGAATCGGGTTGCCGGAAGCAGATGTGCCGGCTGCCCCGGGGCAGAGAAGCTGCTTAGGGACTTGCTGCGTCCCCTGAGGTTCCGTTTCCTGGTGTCGATGTCCGAAGCACCAGGAGGGGGGCTTGGGTCTTAGAAAGCAGCACCAAGAATCAGAACTGCCATGCCTTAGTCACCTGCTGTGTGTCACTCTCGGCCACATTGCGCCTTTCTTGGCTGGGCGGGTGGCCTGGCTGCCCTGGGCAATGGCGGCCTGAGTGAGAAGCTGATGGACGGTGCCCTTGGCGTGTGACTTAACATTCCTACCGCTCGCAGGCTCCTGATCTATGAAACCTGGCCAGCAACACAAAGCACAGTCCTCAATAGTTTTTGAGCATTCTTGGTATGCAAATAAATGCAAACTGAGTCGTCCAGAAAGTCTACGTGATCAGAAGTCATTGTGGTCTGATCCTTCCTGTGCACTGGCCATCCTCTCAGTCACCCTGTGAGCTGGCTTTGTCCCACTTCCTGGGTGAGGTAACTGAGGATCGAGTGATTTATCTAAAGACACGCAGCTTGCAAGCGACCGGAGCAAGGAGCTGAACGCAGGGCTGCCTCTGTGACTGCTTTCCGTGGTCACCGTCCACTCCAGGATTAACGTGCGTGGAACAACTGGCACGTGGTAACGCGATGGAAGGTGGCTGCCGTTGGCTGCTGGAACGGGAACATCCCTGGTGGCTGCCTGCAGGTAGCCTGGTGCTGAAATGTGGAACTCCGAGCCCCATGAGGGTGAGACCCATGCCTGGCATGTTTCCACTACCCCAAGCCAGCGCCCTGAGCAGGTGCCTGTCGGGGTTGGCTGGGCGCCAGATAAAGCGAAGCGAAAGCTTGTAGGCAGCTGAGGTAGGTGAGGTGCGGTCCTCGCAGGGGCGTGCGCTTCTCAAGTTTCAGGCCCAGTGTGGGGAGTATTAAACGCCCACAGGTTTGGATGCCACCGTTCAACTTCTGCCCTCCATGTAAACTGACGGTTTCAAAAATTGTTTATTTATTTAGAGAGAAGGGAAGGGAGGGAGGAAGAGAGGGAGAGAAACATCAATGCAAGAGAGAAACATCGATGAGTTGTTTCTCTCGTACACACCCCAACCAGGGATCGAGTCCACAACCCAGGCATGCGCCCTGACCGGGAATCAAACCTGCGACCCTTCGGTTTATGGACGACACTCCAACCAACTGAGCCGCACCAGTCAGGACAGTAGATGGATAAGGTTATATAATCTTTCTGGAGGGTCATTTGTCAATATATTTCTGGAACCTTTAAAATAATCATTTTAACCCAGTAATTTTTCTTTTGGTTGAAGATTTACTCCAAGATTTAAATTCCAAAAAGCAACGGGGACCCCAAAAAACCCTAGAATTATCTTCTAGAGAGTAGGCCCCTTGTAGTACAAGCATCCACCGCTAGGTGAGTGTTCTAGAAACCCATCTGTGTCAGTGTACAAACTGGCGTTGTTGTGAGAGGCTGCATTCAGCTTCAGTGAATTTTTTGGAAGACTTTTTC